TCCCGAATTTCCGACTAACATGCACATCTTTATGGAATATAATGCAAATTAGAAATTACACTCAGGAATAATAATATTCCTCTATTAAATAAATTAACTACTATATAGAATTTCCAATATTTGTTTGTCGATATATTTCATGAATACTTTATTCCTATTATTTCAGAAATGGGTAATCGACAAAATTACGTCAATTCCTTGCCATTTTTTATACATACGCACCAACAAATGAATCAGATCGTAACTTCAAAGTACTTGTCCCTTTAAAATTTATGTTTAATTTGAAAATAAATACACGAAATTCTTAAATTTTTAATTAATGCGTTATTATAAGAAGAAATATAATATTAAATATATTAATATGTACACATTATAACTGAATTATAGTACAATATTAAATATATCTAATTATACAATAAGATAAAATTATTATTTTATAATAATTACTTAAAAGATAATGATTGGTGTATCATAATAATATATATAAATTTTCAACGCTTATTTTTCTTAAGAAGATAATTCTTTTTAAGCAGCATGTAATTTCTTTTGGAAAGATTTTATTTTGTTTGCAAATTAAAGTCTAACTTGTTTTAGTTCAATTAGACTTCCAAAGAACTTTGCAGCAATAACTGAGTACATCCTCAATTCCTTAATCTCTCTTGATTATTTTTTACTGTTGAACTTTCATGATATTAATGACTCAAATATTCTAAATTCCTCTATATATTTTTAATCCTTTTGACGCTTGAACTTTTTTAGTTTGGTGTACAAAATGAGTTATGATTTTAACAGGATAATATTCTATATAACAATTCATTACAGGTATTTAGAATATAACAATAACAAGTAAATATGGCATAACTTAACGAAGCATCATATCTCTTATGAAATCAATGTAATAATAGATTTTCGTATACACATCAGGAACACCTTTGGCACAATAATAGAGAACTGATACAATACCAGCGAGTTTTCCATCAATGACAAATGGATCTCCACCATCACCCTAAAAATTTTTTAAAACCAATTAATACTTATAACATCGTGGGAATGAATAAAAAATAGGAGCTAATGATATCGTAATTATTATTTATAATATGATTTAATGAAGATTACATATTTTAATATTGCGATAACAAAAAATAAGATAATACGTTAAATTAGTTAAACAATGTATTTTGTAAAGAAAATAAATTAAATATAAAATTTAACTTAATTAAATTATAATTAAATATTCATTGGTTACTATTCAGATCTATTGATATATTTATAACAATAGTAGGGAAAAAATAAGAATAAAGAATAGAATAAAAACTGGGGGAGTGCATTAGTGTAATTTGAAATACTTACTTTGCATGCTCCAACTTCTGCTTTATCCAATGCACAAAATTGTGTGTCGTGTATAAGAAATTTAAAATATGTAGAATACAATCTTTCTGGAATAATTCTCATGTTGGCCTTTTGCATTTGTAAAGGATATGAATTTTCTGGGTAAGTCGTTGATCCCCATCCCAAAACAAATCCGTTATCATTCTCAGCAACGTCTCTGTCTAATAGTTCGATAGCGCTTTGGAATTCATTAAATTTCATTTTTCGTTTAAGCTAAAAAATATTATTTTTATTTGGAGTTTCTAAATGATAATTAATTCATGAAATATTAATAAAGCATAAAAATAAAAATTAACCTATTAAATCAAGTAATTAAAGATTCTCATTTAAATAAAAACTATAATTAAATTCTAAATAAAATAGATAATGATAATGTTTGGCAATATCAAATGATTCTGTGCTCTAACAATGATTAGCATTTTACCTTGACGATTGCAATATCATGCAGGAATATTTCATCCGAATCACTCTTCCCCGTGAATCTTGGATGAAAGAAAACACGAGAAATTTCATGAGCTTTTCCTGGATTTGACTCCAAGGGTACCATTCCTGTATATACCCGAATGCGGGGAATATTATCTAGTTCATCACGAAGGCACTGAATCGTGGTAAGAATATGCTTATCACTGATAATTGTACCACCACAAAATAGATGAACACTGTCGACATATTTAAATGCTGCTACGAAAGGATATGTTCTGACATTTGTACCTTGACCACCAACAATTCGCACATTTTTTGTAAACGCACCTACAAAATCGTTTAGAATATATCTAATTATAATACATATGATTCAGCATTGAGGAAAAGATATATAGAATAAATATTATAAGTAAAATAATAGATAGGAAGGAATTGAAATCATTGCATGAATATAAAATTTCTATATTACATTGATTATACAATATTACTGTTTATAAATAAATACAAGAATTTGAATGTTTCGAAAAATTGCCAATTCAAAACATTATAGGATTTTCTAAAATAGAAAATTTTTTGGAATTATTTTAACAAATCGTGCACTAACTGAAAACTTTTAATTTATCTATTTATCAATTACAATATTGAAACAGAAAGTAGATTTTGTAATTTTTTACATATTGTCATATTGTACATATTGTCGATGATTTTATGCATCAAAATAACGGCTAAATCATATTAAAATAATCAATTAAAGAATGAAAAAAATAAACTTACCGATAGTTTGGAGTGCAAATATACAAATTGCAATTAGATATCTCATATTGAATATTTTAAATAAATATATAAGAATATATGTTTTACCGGTCTTTATATATGTATCACATTAAATTATTCTAATACGGAGCTATCATAGGAATATTTTGTCATAAATCATAATCACTGAATATTATATTATAAAATCAACGCAAAAAACAAATAATCAAATATTTTTATAACGATAAGCAAATGCATACATTTATAATAACGATAAGATAATATATGAAAAATTGTTTTTTGAAACATTAGAAGATATTTCAACGATATACTTTAAGATTTCTAACAGAATTTTATATTACATAGAATATCACATGATTACAAGCTTTATATAAATTATAATTACACACAATAAATGGTAATAATGTTCTGAATTATTTATAAAATACGGTTAAATCTCTAATGCTCTAACTGATTTTAAAAATTCATACTAAACCAGAACTGCGTTCCAGAACGTGTAAATATTAAAGAAAATAGGATTTAAAAATTATAGACGATTCAGTCTCAGAAATCCTACGTTCAAAATAAAATTGACGTAAAAGTAAATATTCATATAAAAATCAAATTTGCCTTTAGCACCTGGAATACTGAATAAAAATATATCAGCAATCTTTTTGTTAATTACCAATGGACCACCGCTATCACCCTGAAAAGTTTGACAAGGTCAATAATATTTCTAAACGAACAAATTAAATACAACAAAATGTAAATACCATTGTTTAGCGAATATAAGCAGCGAATAAAAGAAAAAAACAGTATGATATGAGTTGGAAAACTTACAATGCACGGTCCGACATTTTCCTTATAATACGCACAAAATTGTCCAACAGCCGTTTCCAAATTATAAATTTCAAAACAGTCCCTTAACGGGTAAATGTACATATAAGCTTTTTGCAATTGCATGGGAAATGTATTGTTTGGATGAGATATGGAACCCCAGCCCAAAACATAGCCACTGTCTTCGTCATCTATGTCTCTGTCTGGAAGATCTATCATGTTTTTATTCTGATTAAATACAATCGCATGTTTTATCTGTAGAATAAACCGTTTTTATTAGATGATTTAAGAAATTTCTTTGAGTCATGGATATCATAAGATATCATAAGCATAAAGAATTTTTAAAAAATCGTGAAATTGCCGCTACCTTGACAACTGCAATATCGTGTTGGATCATTTGTTCAATTGTATGTTCCCCGGTGTATGCAGGATGAAAGAAAACTCGAGCGATATCGTGTCCTCCTCTTGAAACAGCATCCATAAAAGTTATTCCCGTGTATACTCTAATGTTACTGTAATCTCCTGATTGAGTGAAAAGACAATGAGCGGCTGTCAGAATATACTGATTGCTGATTATTAATCCATCACAACATATTTGGGTTTTTATTTATATAGATCTTTGTTTATTTCGTTTATTAAAGAAGTAGTCAATTATGTTAGATACTAATTATATTGAAATATCTAATTTTATTCTAAAATTGCATTGCCAATAAAGCGTTCATCATTCAATGTTCGAAATATGAAATATATTAAGAAGATCCAAAATAGTGAAACAATGGCGGAGCTCTTCGATCGCGCAGAGCCTTACTTTTGCCATCCCCGAGTGACATTAAGAACTCAAAGTTGCACTTGGCCAGTGATAAGGAGCCTCGAACCTTTCGATTTTCAATTGATTATCTCTCAGCTCATCGATAGATAATCTATTATTTTCTTAATTAGCCTTCCTCGGGATGATTTTGGCAAACGGATCTCGTGGAGCAATGCAATGTGACTCATAGAACGAACCCGTCGCTGACTTACAATTAAATTTAACAAAAATTTAATAACGAATGAAACTAGTTTTCGATTTGGCCTGAGACATTTGATCAGTTGTTTTTTTTTTACGTAATTATCCATGAAACGTTAGTGACTCATTCTCCATACACATTTAACATCACAAACAAATCTTTATCTTTATTGTTTTCAAAATAAACATTTGATAAATACTTATTAACCGTTAGAGGAAATAGTTGAAGAATTTCAATTTTATTTATAAACTAAATTTATTATCATATGTAACATCGCCCTACTTAGATACGATTATCTTTACGCTAATGGTGGTGAAGGGGTGGGGATGACGTGGATTGGCTGGTAAAATACTGTAGGCGGTAGGTCGGCAGATTTAAATATATTTAATGGTGCATTACAGGATCAATTTACAATGTATCATCTATTCATCATCTCTCTTATAAAATCAACATAATAATAAATTTTTGTATAAATATCAGGTGTACCAAGAGCGCATGGATGAGTAAGTGATACGAAACCGGCGAGTTTTCCATCCACTACAAACGGATCTCCACCCTCGCCCTAGAAAATTCCAAATTGTAAAAGTTTAAATATATTTTCGAATATAAGAAAATCTCATAAAGGAAATTTTCAGTGTTTTCTCTTTTTCTGAATATTGTAGAAAGCTTCACATTATGTCAACAAATACATCGAGGATAATATGAAGTATACATTGTCTGCGTCAAGGCATAGGTCTTATTAGGAATATATAATAATTTTCTATGATATTCGTTGAAAATTAATAAAATTTCTACTGAATTTAATATGTAAAGTAACTCATATCAAGTGAAACAATGATAATATAAATAGACGTAGACCGTGATGGTCAGAGAGAGGAGGGTATAAAGGAAAATATTTACCGTCCACGTTCCTACTCCCTTTTTATCCAATACGCAAAATTGAGTATCGTGTACAAGAAATTTAAAATATGTAGAATAAAATCTTTCTGGAATAATTCTCATGTCGGCCTTTTGCATTTGTAAAGGATATGAATTTTCTGGGAAAGTCGTTGATCCCCATCCCAAAACAAATCCGTTATCATTCTCAGCAACGTCTCTGTCTAATAGTTGGATAGCGCTTTGGAATTCATTAAATTCAATTGCTTTTTTCAGCTAAATAGTATATAAATAGGTATAGGGTAAATAATAATCAATGTATGAAAACATTATTATTCTTATTTGAAAATAGCTAATTAAAACGTTTATATTTATAGATACCATTATGTAAATTTAAGCTATAAAGTCCAAAATTAAGTAGAAATTATAATATTTTGCAATTCCAAATAATAATGTAAAACCTATAAGAATTATATATATTTTACGTTGATAACTGCGATATCACGTAGATATATTTCATCACGATTTTGTTTAGCTGTAAATTTCGGATGATTAAGTATCCTAGTTATTTCGTGCTCATTTTCTGCATTTGACTCCATAGTATTCCCAGTGTAAACTCTAATTTGTTCCAAATTATTTGATTCATATAAAAGGCATTGAGCCGTTGTAATGATATGCTCAGTACTGATTATTGAACCGCCACAGAAAATATTAGGTTTTGTAATATATTTAAACGTGGCAGTAAATGGATATCTTCGAACATATGTGTCTTCACCGCCAAGAATTCTCAAATTTTTTGTTAAAGCGCCTAAATATTTATTTATAATTATAAAGTATTTTAATTATAAATTATAAATATGTTGTGAGTCGATTTATCAAACTAATTTTTTTTCTTAATTGTGGAAGTATTATAATGATTAGGTCTATAACAAATTGCGCTCTTTTTTCAAATTTTTGAGTTACTTTAAGTTCTCTAACATTATATTTGAATTTATGGTATAAAATTTAAATATTTGAATTTAGTATTAATTTATTATATTACAAGTTTTATATATTCAATTATTTCCTCAAAAACTTATGATAATTATACAATTTTATTGTAACATGTATTGTTTATTCTTTAATGAATTTAAATATTAGAACTGAAATAAATTTCAATCAATTATTACCATTAGATTATGTATAATAATTTAATTGTACAATAACTATATTTAATTCGAAATTATATTAGCAAAAGTATTCAAAAGATGTTTTAAACTTACCGGTAGCCAATAGTACAAATACAAATACTGCAATTCGATATCTCATTTTAACTACTCTAAAGAAGTTAGCAAGACAATATTTGTTACGGTTCGCTATGCGCTTTATACATTGTATTGAAAGAATATAAAACATTTATGAACAAAATTGTGTTTACGAAAAAAAAAAAAAAAAAAAATTAAATATTTTTGGAGCGATGAGTTAATACATAAATATATGATAACGATAAGAAAACATGTGCAAAATGATGATCATGAATATTAAAAAAGGTTTCATCAATGAGCTTATAAATTGAAAATGATTATTAATAAAAACTTGATAAGAAAAGGTAACAACATTTTAACACTAAAAACAGGAAGTATTTCTTATTTTCAATGAATTTATTTAAGTATTAATATTGAAATTTTACATTTTTAAAGCAGCTACATATTTACAGATAGGAAAATTATTATAATTAATAAAATTATACAGAATTTATAAAAATAATAAATACTGGCGATTATTCTCAAAATAATTCAATTTCAACTAAAATATTCATGATTAAGTATCAATTATAAAATTCATGTTTTTTCTTAACTTATTCTATTGTCACAAGTACACATATGAAAGCACTTGATGCAGGAAACGAGTATTAATAATAACTAAAGTTTAGTTAATCGCTACTCTTATCATCCCCATTAGGGTGTCATTTTTTAAAAATAAATTTCACAAAATGAAAGGGAGGATGACGTAAATTGATTGGTAAAATACTGTAAGCGATAGATCGGTAAATTTGTATATATTTAACGGTACATTACAGTATCGATGCAAAGTATATTATCTATTCATCATGTCTCTTATAAAATCAATATAATAATAAATTTTTGTATAAATATCCGGTGTACCATGCGCGCATGGACGCATAACCGATGCTAATCCGGCGAGTTTTCCATCCACAACAAACGGGTCTCCGCCATCGCCCTAGAAAATTGTAAGTATAAAGATTTTAAACATATTTGCAAAATAAGAAAAAATAATGATACAATTACGAATTTTATAACTGCGACTTAAGTAATAATAATTTTTATATTATAATGGCCTTACATCATACAATATCAATCAACAGTGAGAATATGTTACGAGATTATGTTTATATTAAGTAATTTAGAAAATATTGATGAAAAAATGTTATAACGGTATATTTAATACTGAAAATATAATAACGATATTAATTATAATAAGTTGTGTTATGATATAGTTTAGATATGTAGTGATATAGCATAGAGTCGAAAATAATTAATTAAATGAAAATACTTACCGTGCATGTTCCTACTCCTCTTTTATCCAAAACGCAAAATTGAATGTCGTGTACAAGAAAATTAAAAAGTCTTTTATACATTCTTGATGGAACTATATTCATTTCGGCTTTTTGCAATTGTAAAGGATATGAATTTAGTGGGTAAGTCGTTGATCCCCATCCCAAAACAAAACCAATCTCATTGTCAATAACATCTCTGTTTAATAGTTCGATGGCGCTTTGGAATTCATTAAATTCAATTGCTTTTCCTAGCTGCAAACAAAGATTGTTTATGTTTTAGAGCTTTTAAGCTTATAAAAAATTGTCTGTTACGGAAATACTATTTATTAAAGTTCTAATTTAATTTTTAACTATAAATAATTCATAAGAGTTGAGCAAGTTTATTGTAAATTTTGTTCTATGTAATGCTTAATATTATAAATTATAAGCATTTTACCTGAATAACAGCAATATCGTGCAGATTCATTTCATCACTATTCTGTATACCTGTGAATCTAGGATGAACATAAACCTGAGCAATTCTATGTGGAGTTCCTACATTCGTATCCATAGAAATTATGCCTGTGAAAACTCTAATAAGTTTGAACTCATATTTGACGTAGCACATGCACTGAGCGGCTGTAAGTATGTGCTTGTTACTTATTATTGCACCACCACAGAAGGTATTAGGATCGTCCATGCGTTTTAATGATGCAATAAACGGATATGCTTGAGTATCTGCGTTTTGGCCGCCAAGAATTCGCACATTTTTCGCCGAAGCGCCTAGAAATTTATTCATAGTTATAAAATCATCGTTTTCCAATTATATGATTCCATGCCAATACAAATTTTAAATATGTAAAAAGTCTTCTTTAAAAGTCTTATAAAAATAATATAATACAATAAAAAACGTTTTAAATCTTTACATTAGTAGAATAGAATTTAAATAATAAATTATATAATTTACATAATACATAGTTCCATTTTAAAAAACTGTATTTGAGTTTTATATAATAATAATACAATCATTCGGATGTCATAAATTATTAACTTACCGATAGTCAGAAGTGCAAACGTTAAAACTATAAGTTGATACACCATTTTGTGAATTCTAATCATGAGATGAGACAATATTTGTTATCCTGCTATATATACGAAATAAATTACAAAAAAATATTATGCTTTTCTATTAATGTTTTTTTTTCTAGAACTTAAAATAATACTTAATTATATTATAAAATAATCGTAATTAAAAGAAAAACAAATATTTTCAAAATGATAAGTTAGCACACACTTATAGTAATGATAAGATAATTTATAAAAAGCGGATTATTAGAATATTAAAAAATTATTCCATAAATACTTGCAGATTTTATAAGATATTTTATCATACCTACCACCTTCATAGACATTGATAATTAATAATCATTTTTGTAGAAGGCTCATAAGATATTCGGATTAACCGTACATTTATATACGTACTTTATTATACCTTTAGTTATTTCATTTATGTATAAATATGAATAATATTTAATTTCAAAAATAGTTTTATATTTAAAGACGGGTATTATCATAGCTATTAAAATAATAAATATCGACTGTTTTCCAAGTAACTGTAAATTATGACAGAATATGTCGCAATTCTGAGACTGATCTTTGTAACGTGAAAATTTGTACAATTCTATTGTTCAGAACCAATCTTTTAATCGACAAAGAAAACGAATATTTATCAAAGATTATAGAAGACTGCGACCTACATATCGTAGTCGGCGTTTTGAAGGCAACATTTGTGCGATCTTTACAATAATCGGTAGAATAATATTTATATATTTACAATATTGATTATATATAATATTAGTCATATAACTGATAATTGAACACTGCCGTTTTGTATAATTATTGGCATTTAATTAGAAAGCATTCCGAACTGAAGATACGTAATCGTTGTTCACGAGTTTTCGATTTAAATTCGAGCGATCCTGGGTATCGGAAGACATTAATATGTTTTATAGTGGATCATTGTTTGTTTTTTGTACTCTTTATGATTTGTCTTGTAGTAACGATTTGTCCTTTGCTAATATACTCGAGAATCCGTGCCACTATATAGTGACATTACCCGCGATACCATAAGATTTGTTCTACCATTTGCAAAATATCACATTGTGCAAAGTAACAATGTTAACATGTACCGAGGCAAACTGAAATGTTTCATACGCAAAAATCATTGTCTTATGATTTCTTCCTGGCGAACTGCTAAGCAACTAACTTTGCAAGAATGACTTTTCTCATTCTAAATTTCATAATCGTTCTTGACTACATTTTACACCTGAACTTCTGTAGTATTAATAAATCAGAATATTTTAATTTCGTCTACTTACATCTATTTTTAATACTTTTGGTGCTTGAACTTTTAAGGTTTGGTGTATAAAATATATCAACATTAGTTATGATTTTAACAGGATAACATTCTATATAACAATTAATTACAGGTATTTAGAATATAACAATAACAAGTAAATATGGTATAACTTAACGACGCATCATATCTCTTATAAAATCAATGTAATAATATATTTTCGTATATACATCAGGAACACCTCTGGCACACCTATAGATAACTGATGCTAAACCAGCGAGTTTGCCTTCAACGATAAATGGATCCCCGCCATCACCCTTGAAAATTTTAAAAAGTTATTAATGCTTGTAATAGTATGTAAAGGAAACAAAAAATACCATCAAATAATGGAAAATGTTACTTTAGGGAGGTTTAATCATGATCCTATATTTTCATATAATGATAATAAGTAGGAGATATATGTTTAATTATTCAGCCTGTAGATTATGTAAAAAATATTAAAATAAACATAAAATTCATATAATCTTATATTATTATTATTGAATAAATACTCATGAAATTAATAATGCTACGAATAATTGATAGTGAAAATTATAGATTTATAATGGCGGCAAGTCTAATATATTTTACGGAAAAATTCTTACGGTGCACACTCCTACTCCTTCTTTGTCCATTGCACAAAATTGTGTATCGTGCACAAGGAATTTGAAAAACGTAGAATAAAGTCTCTCTGGAATTATACGCATGTTGGCTTTTTGCATTTTAGTTGGATATAAAAGTAACGGATATGATGTTGTTCCCCATCCCAAAACAAATCCTCCATCATTCTCAAGAATATCTCTTTGTAACAGCTCAATGGTGTTTTGAACATCATTTAATTGAATTATTCCTTTCAACTATAAAATTAAGAATATTTAAATTTATATTTTATGAGTATAAATTGATTTATTTAACAAAAATATATTCTATATACGTAAATATAAAGTTTTACTATTATATAGTTAATAAATGAATAGATGTTAATTGTAATTATCATTGATTCCTCAAGTACATTCAATTTTACATAAAATTATTTCTCAATAATACTTTGCTCTATTATTTACAAGTATTTTACCTTGACAACGGAAATATCATGTAGGAACATTTCATCATTATTGCCTTTAGCTGTATATCCAGGATGTACAAAAGCCTGTAAAATTTCACGCGAAGTTCCTGCATTCGAATCGGCAAAAGACATACCTGTATATACTCTAATACTGGCTAAATCATTTAGTTCTCTGCGAATGCATTGACCCGTTGTAAGTACATGCTTGTTACTAATTATTGCACCACCACAAATAGTATTAGGATTCCCGATGCGTTTAAATGCTGCTACAAACGGATATGTTCTTACATTTGTGTCTTGACCACCGAGAATTCGCACATTTTTTGCTGAGATAACTAGAAATTTATTTATAATTATAGTAGTTATATTATAACATGATTTGTTAAATGGTATTAATTTCAAAATTTAGCCGAATGTTCATTTTACTCAGTCACATGACGTTCTGTAATTTTACAATCAAATATAGAGACCAGAATTTTAATATTCCATTAACGTAACAATTAATTCCATTACAAATTATGCAGATATAGATATATACATAAATTTTTTTTCTTTTAATTATTCTGCTACTAGTATACAATATAATGAATAACTTTTTATATCAATATTAACAAGTTTTAATATTAAAATTGAAATGAATTTCGATAAATCGGTATGATTTCAGTTAAACTTTAACATAAAAATTATTCACAAGTTGTAAATTATAAACTTACCGAGAGTCTGTAGTGCAATTAATAAGACTGCAATTTGATACTTCATTTTCAATATTCCACGTACGTGCTTAAGAATATATGTGTTACCGCTCCTTAATGTATTAAATTACATCGGGAAAATATCAAGCTTTTATGTGAATATTTTTCTAGTAATAAACACAATAAAAAATTCTATTATAAATTTCTTGTAAATAATAAAAAATCAAATATTTTTGTAACGATAAGTTAATTCATACATTTATACAAATGATAAGATAATATATATATATATATATATATATTATATATTTAAATTGTAATTGTATATTTAAACAAATATATTATTAAATATCGTAAATTAATTTTAAATAGTAATGTATATTAATTTAAAAAACAAGAGTCAAATTATGGCTTTATTTTTTTATATCTTAAATCTATATATATATATATATATGTATATTTATGTATGTATGTTACATTTTTAGAAGATTCAATTAATAAAATAGTTATATAATTAAGCACATAAAGTATATTTTCGAAGTTATTACAATACTTAAAATCGACCGTTAACTAAATGTCGTAAAATTTAACAAATCCTGAAGTGCTTTAGATCCCGTAAAGTATATATTATCAAAGTATATTAACATAATAAATAGTAACTATTTTGCAAGTCATTGTAAGTTTGAAAAGATTCGTCATAATTATTTGATTGATTCTTTAAAGTATAAAAATTTACAGGATTATTTTTTTAGTAATATATTTTATTATAATCTGTACATGACAATAATATTTGACATAAATTAAAAAAGATTCTACCTAGTGTCGTAAAGTTTACATACATGCCATAACTAAAATAATCGCAATATTAATATTTGTTTATATTATAATATTAAATATAGAAATTCATATAAATGATAATGATAGAAACGACAATTAAACATTCAGCTATTCGAATGAGAGTGAATTTAAATGCATTTATCATGGAATTAGAAAAGCATGATTCGCATTTCTAGAAATTATAAATATTTTTGTCGACATAAGAGATCTTAGATAGAGTTTTAAATAGTTCGTGTGATATATTTTATAAATAATTCATTCAGAAATTGTAATTTTTTATGTATGAAAATTGTAAATGTATTTCTACGTGTAGTTGAAACATATGCAGTTAAGAATAATAAACGAAAATTCAATTAATTATATTTATTATTATTGATTATCATTATTATTTAACTGTATTGCTTAAGTATTCACTATTACTAATACTCATAAAAGTATTTTTCATTAAATTTTGCCATTGTTAGAATGTACATACAAACGAATGAATCTGTAATATAAAAGTACTTCTGCTTTCAAATTTTTATTGGAATTAAAAAAACAGTTGCAAAATTCTGTAAAATATATATATAAACAAAGAAATGGTAAGTAGAAATAAAATATGAATTTTATTAATATAAATATTCGTTTCATGATAGCATAATCCTGAATATAAAAGAGTATACAATAACCAGTTATCATTTATCCTTATTAATTTTTAAAAGCTTTTAACGCATATATTATAACGATTAAAGTATCTTTTACTAATTTCTAGTTCATTTATACTTCAATTGAATTTAAATATTAATGTCTGCAAGAGAAACATATTTTACAAAAATATAGAATTTCTATTGAGATATTCGATATAATATAGATCAAAGAGTCTAACTTATTTCATTCCCAGACTTATTTCTATATCAACATTTTATGAATAATGTATAATATTGAAATATATATTTTGAGTTATATTTTATCATTAAAAAGTATTGAGGTATAATGTACTATAAAATATCAAATTAATAAAGATTGCCATGTAATATTCGATGTTAAAGTTATGTACATGTCAATATAATTAATGGAGTATTACAAAATCAAAGTAGTGGGGCTTAAATACTCATCATGTTGTTGATATAATCGATGTAATAATACATTTTTGTATATATATCAGGTAAACCTTGAGCACAAGGATAAATAATTGATGCTAAACCTGCGAGTTTTCCATCAATGATAAACGGATCTCCGCCATCGCCCTAGAACATTTCATGAATTAAGTGATATGCTAATTAAGTGACAATTCATGATATAAGTGATAATATTTAAAAAATCATTCAACAAATAAGAAAGAAAAATCAAAAGACGTAGAAAAAAATTTCGCTGCAGTAATTTTTATTAATGTATCCGTTAGTAAATATTAATTATTTTTACATTACATCATTAAAGAAAAACAGGAATCTCTTAAATTATAACATTGAATTTATTAAAATTAATTAGTTTAAAAACATAAATATAAATTGATCTAAAATTAAAGAAAGTCGAATATAATAATTTAAATAAAAATACCGTGCATGGTCCGACTCCTTGTTTGTCCAACGCCGCGAACTGAGTATCGTGTAGAATAAAATAAAAGAATGAAGAATAAGATCTTGCTGGAAGAATATTCATTTGGGCTTTTTGCATCTGTGAAGGATATGAATTTTCTGGGTAACTCGTTGATCCCCATCCTAAAACAAATCCGCTTTCATTCTCAGCAACATCTCTGTCTAATAGTTCGATAGCGCTTTGGAATTCATTAAATTGAATTGCTTGCTTCAGCTGTAAAATAGAAATTATTAATAATATATTAATAGAAGTTACAAATAATTCAGACGAATAGACAAATTATATATTACATATATTTTATAATTATCAATGCTCAAATTAAAATTGTAGTTATAATTAATATAAAAAATATGTTGATAATGATTAAATTTATCAGAAACATGTTTCTAAATTATAGTGTACTCTATTATAATTATAAGCAATTTACCTTGACGACTGCGATGTCATTTAAATACATTTCATCGCGATTACCCTTATTTATAAATCTACGATTAATGAACACCCGTTGAATTTCATGCGAAGTTCCTGCATTAGGATCTGAAGTAGATATGCCTGTATAAACTCTAACGAGTCTATAATTATTTGGTTCACCGTAAAGACATTGAGCTGTGGTAACTATGTGCATATTGCTTATTATTGCACCACCACAAAAAGTATTTGGATTCCCGACATGTTTAAATGATGCAATAAATGGATATGCTCGAACATCTGCATCTTGGCCGCCAATAATTCGCACATTTTTTCCAAACACACCTGTTAAATCATTTATCATTAAAATACATTATCAATATTTGTCCCAGTGATTTCAAAAATGGTAATTAATTTCAAAATTATACATGAATTTTATAGATTAAAATTTTATCATAATTTAGCCGAATGTTCATTTTACTCAGTCACATGACGTTCTGTAATTTTACAATCAAATATAGAGACCAGAATTTTAATATTCCATTAACGTAACAATTAATTCCATTACAAATTATGCAGATATAGATATATACATAAATTTTTTTTCTTTTAATTATTCTGCTACTAGTATACAATATAATGAATAACTTTTTATATCAATATTAACAAGTTTTAATATTAAAATTGAAATGAATTTCGATAAATCGGTATGATTTCAGTTAAACTTTAACATAAAAATTATTCACAAGTTGTAAATTATAAACTTACCGAGAGTCTGTAGTGCAATTAATAAGACTGCAATTTGATACTTCATTTTCAATATTCCACGTACGTGCTTAAGAATATATGTGTTACCGCTCCTTAATGTATTAAATTACATCGGGAAAATATCAAGCTTTTATGTGAATATTTTTCTAGTAATAAACACAATAAAAAATTCTATTATAAATTTCTTGTAAATAATAAAAAATCAAATATTTTTGTAATGATAAGTTAATTCATACATTTATACTAATGATAAGATAATATAAAAAATGATTTTTTAGAATATTACAAAATTATTCCACGCTTAGCTGATTTTGAAACAAAATATTATCAAACATCGTAAAAATAAAAAAATAATTAAACCTAATTAAAAATGAAAATTAATAATAATTTGATAAAATCACTGAAAAGCTTAATTTTATTTTTATTATACCGACAATCAAATTCTTTATATGTAAATACAATCGATTTTGCAGTTATGAAAAAGCTATATATTTAAGTATATAACGCATATTGTCAGAGTTACTAGAATAATAAAAACATTTTTTTTGTTATTTCAATGATTCTTTTTTACCTACATATATTGCTTTCATTTTTCCATAAAAAGAATCTTTTTTATTAATAAATAATAATAAAATTCGATATTTAAATTTAATTTACATAATTTAATAAATCTACGTGATTATTTGTATCAAATAGTATAACAATTCTTTTAAAAACAAAATTATTATTCAGTGTGGGAACGTTTAATTTTTTTTTATCTTTCGAAATTCGAAGTATCATTTTAACGTAAAAATTATAAATATCATTAATAGATTAGAGAAGGCTCAACTATATTATCTTATTTGTATTTTAAAGCTTAGATTTAAACAATCCTTAAACTAACTGCTGGAATAATATTTATTTATATTATATAGCTTAATGAAAATACTCATATAAAAATTAGTCATAAAAATAAATATTGAACACTGAAGTACTAAACATTCTGAATGGCATTTAAGTGAAATGCATTTATTGTGCAATTCTATGCTTATATACATAAAAAATATAAATGTTTTTATCTTGTTTGTTTTCATAAATTGGTTTTCATAAATTTTATAAATAATTCATTTAGAATTTTTTTTTAATTCCGTATTTTTCTTTAATTTTTGACACCACTAGTGAGTGCATACGTACAAGCAAACGAGTCACTTTGTACTTCAAAATAATTATTATTTTGAAATTTATATTTGAAAAATAAATACACAATTTTTAATAATTCAAATAAATATCTGAATATGTAACAAATTATACAATATTTAACATATATGCAAGATACTATATATAACAAAGACACTATATATAACAAATTATGCAATAAAATAAGTTTATTATTTTATAATAATTACTTAAATTATATTATTGGTGTATCATAATAGTAGAACTAATATATATAAAGTTTTATGACTTATTTCTCCGTTGAATCAATTTTCCAAAAATTCCATTTTGATAGAGAAAATTATTTTATATAATTCTTTTTGGTAATATTTAATTGTATTTAGATAGAAATTTTTTAAATATTTTATTTCCGGTTTCATTTATTAATAATATATAATGCTTTAATATATTTAAAGATGTATTTATTATGATTGAAATGTACAAATATGGCATACAATTAAATATAAATATTAATGAGTGTTTTAACAAAATAATGTTCAATATAAAAATTCAATACTCGTGAAAATTATTGATGCAGTGTTACAGAATTAATGTTGTATCTATTATGAAATCAACATCATATCTCTTATGAAATCAATGTAATAATATATTTTCGTATATACATCAGGAACACCTCTTGCACACCTATAGATAATTGATGCTAAACCAGCGAGTTTGCCCTCAATGATAAATGGATCCCCGCCATCATTCTAGAATATTTTATGAATAAATTAATATTTAAAATATCATTTAAAATAATTAATAGAAAATCTAAATAATTGTTAAATTTACGTTTTTATTTTTATATAATATCATTGCTTCATATTGTTTTAATTAGATCAATAACGAAAAGGTATACTTTAAATTATGACTAGTAAATAATTTAGAATAAATTGTAATGTAAAAGTTATAGAATTAATTTGATTATATGCGTTAATTATTAATTAGAATAATAATTTATAGTTGTGGAACAAAAATAGAAATTAGTCGAATGTAATGAATTAAATAAAATACCGTGCACAGTCCAATTCCATTTCTGTCCAACGCCGCAAACTGAGTATCGTGCATAATAAATGTATAAATTCTAGAATTCATGCTTTCTGGAATAACATGCGCATTGGCCTTTTGCATTTGTATAGGATATGAATCTTCTGGATAAGTCGTTGATCCCCATCCCAAAACCAAGCCCATCTCAGTGCTAATAACATCTCTGTTTAATAGTTCGATGGCGCTTTGGAATTCATTAAATTGAATTGCTTGTTTCAGCTGTAAAATAAAAATTATTAATAATAGCTAAAATAATTAGTTTAAAAATAATTCAGACGAATAGAAAAATTATACATTATATATTTTATAATTATCAATGCTCAAATTAAAATTGTAGTTATAATTAAATTCAATTGTACTGTGCTCTAATCTAATTATAAGCAATTTACCTTGACGACTGCGATATCATGTAAAAACATTTCATCAGAATTGCGTGTTGCTGAGAAACGAGGATGAATCAAAATCTTTTTCACTTCATGCGAAGTTCCTGTATTCGGATCTGAAGATATGCCTGTATAAACTCTAAGATGACGGAAATCGTTTAATTCTTTGCGTAGGCATATAGCACTTGTAACTACGTGCCTATTACTTATTATTGCACCACCACAAAAAAAATGTAATTGACCAACATGTTTAAATACTGCTACAAACGGATATGTTCGAACATCTGCGTCTTGGCCGCCAACAATTCGCACATTTTTTGCTGACGTACCTAGAAATTTATTTATAATTATAATCGAACTAGAAATTGTTAACAAACTGTCTCCTGACTTATGGAATTGGAATTAATTTCTAGTTTATGCATAATTTAGGATTTTATGAGTGTCTCAAATGTAGCTGAATTATTATTTTACTCAATCACATCACGTTCTGTCATTTTGCAATCAAATATAAAGACCAGAATTTTAATATTAACACAGTAACGATTAATTTTATTACAATTTTCAAATATATGCAGAGTCAATTCTGCGGCTTTGTTAGTTTATACGATTGTTTGAAATCATTTTTTATTCAACTATTTTAAATTTAAATATTAAAGATAAAATAAATTTCCATAAATTATTACGTTCATTTAATAGTTTAATAAAAATGAAAAATCGACATTAAACTTTTAAATTATATTAATTAATTTAGTTTAAATATAATCATTGAAAATGTATAAATCATAAACTTACCGACGGTTAATAATGCAAATATAAATATTGCAATTCGATATTTCATTTTAAAAATTCTAAACAATAATGTAAAATAATATTTGCTACTGCTTTTTATATATATCTTGCATTATATACAATGAAGTTGAAGTTTCTATAAGATTTTCTACCATTAAAAATCGTTGAAAATCATATTACAAAATAAATATTTTTTAACATACCAGAAAGTCAAATATTTTCATAGTGATAAGTTAATACATATATTTATGGTAATGATAACATATACAAAATCGTTTTTTGGAATATAAAAGCATATTTGAACATGTTTAAAGATTTCTAAAAACAATTTCTCATGTAATATAACATATCTGAAATTCATAATAAATAGTCATTTTTCATGTAAGAAATAATGTTTCAAATATTTAAATCTAAAGTTATACCATTTATAAGACTCACATTATAGTACGTTAAACATTTTATACCTCAAATTAGTTCATTCATGAACAAATATTAATCATTATTCATTTTTTTATTATAATTCTAATTAGTTCAGTTACGTGTAAAAATTAACATTTTTTAATTTGTAGAGTAGAATAAAATAGAGTAGAATAAGTTTATTATTAGATTTTATTAAAATTATAATTATCGAATATTTAAAAGTCGATTTACAATTAATTTTATTTAAAATTCAGTTTAAAGAACAGTCTATGCCAAAATCAAAATAACGTATTTGGTTTATTACATTTTTCTGTATATACATACAACAAATAATTTAACAATGATATATAAGGAAATAATTTTATTAAAAATAATATTGTTGAATAGGGATTGGATATTTATCAAAATAGAACGAAATAAGTTAAACTTGAAACTTAAAATAATTTAATGAATATTGAACAATATATTTTACTATTGCGAAATAACCAAATTTCAAAACATCCTCTGTAATTATTGTTGTTTTATCGATTTTATCATAAAATAAAATATATTATAATATTATATATAACCAAAATGAAAATTTTGGTCTATAATATTTGTCTCTTTTCATTCCCGCCTTTTAGTACATTTCAGCTCGTATTTACTCTTTTCTGAATTTGCGACTAACATGCACATGTTTACAGAAAATAATGCAAATTAGAAATTACACTCAGGAATAATAATATTCCTCTATTAAATAAATTAACTACTATATAGAATTTCCAATATTTGTTTGTCGATATATTTCATGAATACTTTATTCCTATTATTTCAGAAATGGGTAATCGACAAAATTACGTCAATTTCTTGCCATTTTTTATACATACGCACCAACAAATGAATCAGATCGTAACTTCAAAGTACTTGTCCCTTTAAAATTTATGTTTAATTTGAAAATAAATACACGAAATTCTTCAAATTTTTAATTAATGCGTAATTTTAAGAAAAAATACTATATTCCATATATTAGTATATACAGATATTAATGGAATTACAGTACAATACTAAATATATTAAATTATGCAATAAGATAATCTTATTATTTTATAAAAATTACTTAGAAGATACTGCTTGATGTATAGTAATAGTCAAATTAACATATATAAATTTGTATGACTTATTTTCTATTTAAATCTATTTGGTTTTGTTTAATTCTAAATTCTTTTATACTTCTTATTTACTTTTTATACTGGAAATGTTCTAGTATGGTATACTATAAAATATCAAAATTAGTTAAGATTTAAACAAGATAATACTCAATGTAAAAATTTGGTACAAATAAAAATCATTCACGGAGTAGTACAATATCAAAATGGCTTAAAAAATCATTGAATCGGTTATAAAATCGATGTAATAATAAACTTTTGTATATACATCTGGAATACCCTCAGCACATCGATAGATAAGTGATGTTAAACCAGCAAGTTTCCCATCAACGATAAATGGATCTCCTGCATCACCCTAAAAAATGTTCTGGATAAAGCAACATTCAAAATAATATTTAAAATGATTTTAAATGAAATCATTAATAATTGAAAATTTTTGCTGTGAAGATTATGTCAAAAAAACATGAGAAATTTGTTAAATTATGATAATTTAATAATTTATTAAGAAAATTGAGAAAATCTTAATATAAAATTTATTTGAACTTGCTGGAATATGCTACTAGAATTACGAATTAAGCTGATTCATAATGAGTTTAAGAACAATAATAAAAATTCATTAAAAACAATAATTGAAGTGTCTTAAATATAAAAATAATTACCGTTAAAGTAAAATAAAAATAATTACCGTGCATGCCCCAACCCCTTTTCTTTGAAAGCCGCAAAACTGTGTATCGTGAATGAGGAAGTTAAAAAATTGAACATAATCTTTTTCGGGAACAATACTCATGTTGGCCTTTTGCATTTGTAAAGGATATGAATTTTCTGGGTAAGTCGTTGATCCCCATCCCAAAACAAATCCGTTATCATTCTCAGTAACGTCTCTGTCTAATAGTTCGATGGCGCTTTGGAATTCATTAAATTCAATTGCTTTTTTCAACTATAAAGATTATGATATTCGCAATATTTAAAATTATCTGAATTACTCAAAAACTAATTTTTTAATTGGAAAATTATTATTGAGGTAGTTTACATTTATCTTTCTTCAAATGCAAATTTCAGTTATAATTAAATGAAAATACGTTTTGGACATTAATTACTTGTATTTTACCTTGATAACTGAAATATCATATAGAAACATTTCATCAAAATTGCGTGTAGCTGTGTATCCAGGATGAACGAAAATGTGTGAAATATCATGAACATTTCCTGGATTAGAGTCCGCTGGTGACATTCCTGTGTATATTTTAATGCGGCTGCTATCCATATATTCTGCTCGAACGCACTGAGCCGTTGTGAGTATGTGCTTATTACTTATTATTGTACCACCACAGAAAATATTTAGATTATCATTATATTTAAAATTGGCCATAAACGGATACGTTCGAACATCTGCGTCTTGGCCGCCGAGAATTCGCACATTTTTTGCTGACGTATCTAGAAATTTATTTACAATTATAATAGTTATATTATAATATAATTTATTAAATGGTATTAATTTCAAAATCATACATGAATTTCATAGATTAAATGTTTATCAAATTTAGCTGAATGTTCGTTTTATTCAGTCAGATCACGTTCTGTAATTTTACAATAAAATATAAAAAATTTTAATATTAACATAGTAACGATTAATTTTATTACAATTTTTAAATATTTATTCTGAGGCTTTGTTAAATGATACGATTGAATGAAATAATTTTTTATTTAACAATTTATAAATTTTGAATATTAAAGCTTTAATAAATGTCAATAAATTATTACGTTTACGTTGGTAATAATTATATAATATAAAATTATATTTTGTATTAAAATTCTAATAATCCAATCAATTCCAAAGGTCTAAATTACAAACTTACCCATAGTTAGTAGTACAAATACGAATACGTCAATTTGATGTTTCATTTTCATTATTCTAAATATATTAAGATGAAATTAGTTTTGGCGTTCTTTATATATATATATATATATATATATATATATATATATATATATATATATATAAAGAATATATATATATATATATATATATATATATCAGAAAAATAACAAGCTTTCATTGTAATATTTTTTTGTCATTGCAAACAATTGAAAATTAAATTATAAACTAAAAGTAATGAATGTCAAATATTTTTATAATGATAAGTCAATACATAAATTTATGGTAACGATAAGATTTCTGAACAATCATTGTCTAGAATATTGAAATATAACTCTTGAAATTCTAATTGATTTCTTATATAATGTTATCATGTATCGTTACATAACATAACTATTGTAATATAATATTTGAGAATTAATAGTAATTTTTCATAGAATGGTCAAAATGTTATTAAAAGTTACAAAATTGCACAACAAAATTAACGATAGAAAAATTGATCTCTAATATAATACAAAAGATGATAAATTTTATAGCATTAAGCAATTAAACATTTTATCTACATGAGCTACATATATAAAAACAGTAAATTTATTATTAGGTTTTATTAGGACAATAATTATACAAATTATAAGTCAATTGAATAGTTATGCCATAATCCAGAGATTGATTTTTCACTTTTTTTTAATGACTATAAATATTTTTATTCTGCAATCCTGAGTATCGGAAGACATTGTTGCTCGAAATTTATCAATATGTTTTATAGTGGATCATTGTTTGTTTTTTGTACTCTTTATGATTTGTCTTGTAGTAACGATTTGTCCTTTGCTAATGTACTCGAGACTCGTTACCACTACATACTGACATTACCCACGATACCATAAGATTTCCTCTATCATTTGCTACATAACTAATTGAGCTAAATAAAGTGATATGATGATTTCCGTTCTGTCCATTCTTGCGTATTGCCATTGTTTTGAAATATCTGGAGACGGATTTCGATGTGCTAAGATTGGAGCTTGAGGAAGCTTAAAATACTTGTGTGTGCGCATCGTTGGACCACTTCTTTCTCCCATAAAGGTTTTGACAATTTGTTGGCGCACCGACTGCGACCGAAACTCGGTTGAACCGTGTTTATTCTAGGACCCAATGGGCTTGTCCAGGGAGTAGTACTTAACATTAATCCTTGCATTTAAGTTTTCTGCTTTTTAATGCAAAGCACCGGAAATAGATTAGAGAGGACGCAAAAGAGAGACTGCCTCTCTCTCTCTCTCTCTCTCTCTCTCTCTCTCACTCTCTCTCTCTCTCTCTATGCCGTCATATACAACGAAATCAATGTTGTGGTGCCCTCAGACAAAAAATCATTTTTATTATATAAATCTATTAGTATTTTGTCAAAAATATTGTAATCTTATATTGGCTTTAATGCGTATTATTTACAGTTTCTAAGAACTTGAAATATCTTTAAGTTTTTTTTTGTTTTTCAGAACAAAGATTTAACTATTTGCTTACAAATTACTAAAAGGAATTTATAAGTTTTAAAAATCTTCTATTCGATTGGAAACAATCTCTATGCTAAATTTTGATGATACTGTTGACATAAAAATAGAAGAAAATTTTACTTAAGATCCAATAAATTATATATATATATATATGTGTGTGTGTGTGTGTGTGTGTGTGTGTGTGTGTAAATTTTATATATTTTTAATATTTGTATATTTTATAACACAAAATTGATTTATAATGTTTTTAAATATGGTATTGATTATTTTCTAGGCAATTTTAATATTCTCAAAAACCGTAAGATAAATATATGTTATTAGTATATACTTTTTATCGTGCAAAAATCAATTAACGACATTTTACTTAACAGCAAATTTTGATTGTAAATAATGTTATAAAATAACAACTATAAATTACTCATAAAATATTAAATTATATCTATTTTTATTACAAAGTATTTAAATTTATTTCTTTATAAATTTATTTTGCTTATTTCTCACATATTTATATTTATTTACATAATTTACATATACTATTTGATTGTAAAATTTTTGTATACTTATGTTTTATCTAGAATACATAATAATATAATAATACGTGACAATATAATATATAATATGAATTTCATAAATATTTTTTTCTGCAAATTTCATTTAAGACGTTATTGGAACATCTGATACCATTTACTATATGACAATTTATTACAATATAATTATTCAATATATTTTTCACTTATATATAACATAAATGTTATCGAAAGATAATATAAGCTGGTGACTTATGTGTCTTATCTAAATACTTAAATTTTACATAAACCATCGGCAAAAGCAAATTTTTTAAAATTCAAATATCAAATATAGCTTTTGTTAAAAATGTAAAGTATTCTAAAGAAAAAAACGAGTATACAAAATTTTCTAGTTTTAATTAAAATATTTTATCTTAAAATTACAGACATTGTAAACTATAAAATAAAATTTCTTTATCTTTTCAAACGTTATATAACTTACATATACAAAAATTTAATTATTTCTTAAGATATGTATTTATTTATATACTATTGTCTCTGTTCTTCGTTGTATTATTTCTATGAATTTTTTTTTGTTTAGCTCAGTTTACAGCTCAGTGTTTACAGTTCCTGTCTGTTATCGAATCTCACCACTGCCTCAGTTCAACCAAAGGTGGAAAAAAAAGCTTCCTCGAGAACAATATTTCGCGCACGAAATTTATTTAAATTTTTAATTGATAAATATCTGTCACAACTCTTTTTAGCAAAGCAAGAACCTGAAAAAATATTTATATGCATATGTTATATTTCTGACGCCGCACCGAATAAATTGAATTCTTATAATTCCACATTAACTTTATTATAAATTTTTAATTAATTATATCTTTAATCTTTATAAATAATAAATTTTATTGGTAATTTTTTAATTTAACCATTTATTGAATATTCCTTGAAAGCAATAAAACTATAAAACTAAATATTAGATATTTTTATATTTATTAATAATATGTTTTTAAGCTTATATTTTTTTCATTATTTTTTTTAGAAATAAATTTAGTTGGAATATAAATAAAATGTTTTCATTAAAAATGTATTATTATATAATTAATTATTATTATATATTAATATAATCTTAGAACTGCAATGGTATTGTAACCAAATCGATTTGCTAATTCTCTCTATCCAATCACATGTAAGTCATTTAAATATATATTTATATACATAAAATACATTTATATATACTATATTATTTAATTTTTCAATTGTCTATTGATTTACAAATTAAATAAAGAAACTCTTACAATTGTAATTTATATCTTAAAAGAAGTCTTCTCTTATTTAATTCATTTAGAAGAATGTGATATATTTATTATCATTATGTATGTAAGATTTCTGTAAAAAATCTTAAGTCCATCCAAATTTTTATTACAATTAAACTTGCTTGTATTTTTATATTAGAATTTGGAATTATTAACGTCATTATTATCTTTGTCTTTATACTGACGATTCTTTATTCTTTACTTCTTCTTTATTCAACTGTTTTTATAAAATAGACTATATTCTACGATATTAAATTATTAAATCTAATGTCCTAAAATTTAATTCATTATTGGGCTCATCTAGCATACTTGAACGAGATATTACTAATAAAACTTGAATGATATTATTCTATGATTTTATTAATTGTCGTTAGTTTGTAAAAGATTAGTCAAATTCCTTATTATATTGCCTGTTTAATAGTTTTTTTTTTATATCTCCTATAAATTAAAAATATACATCTAGAAAATCATTCACTCTAATCAAATAAGACCAATACAATTATTCTTCATAATTTATGTATTTTACATTTTATGTTTTGAAGATTCTGACATACAAAAAACAAAAGAAAACGAAAATAAACAACTTTTGAAAATTAAGATTATATGTATTTCTTTCATATAAGTTATTTATATATTTAAACTGAAAGTGTACCGTTCAAGATAAAGACTTATCTAAAACATATTTCAATGTTAATAGTTTAAAAAATATATAAATCTAAAGTTTTGTGTTAGAATATGAACATAAATTGCTATAAAAAATGCTAAAAGTAATATATTTCGAATGAGAAAAAATATTAAATTTGTTATTTCATAATAAGTAGAGTTATTGTGAAACAAGATCATATATAATAAAAAGAATATTATTGAACAACTTTTACAATAAAAATAGAATATAATTGAACAACTTGCACATTAAAATACAATATAATGACTTTTATAAAATTATAATCTTTATAATTGACTAGATAACAATTTGACGTGAACATTATTCAACATTGAAATTAATGTTCGCCCTTACAGTTTCTTTGAGTGAACATTTGAAATCACACCGTAATTGGGAGGAATTGAAATTTAAAAAAAGAAAAACTTTACATGGCAACTTTCTTGAGCGCCATCTATAATACTCTAGTCGAACTATTCACCTAACCTCTTACAAATATATGTGCGTCTGCATATATATAATATAAAAATTATTCGCGCGTGCTTCCGGCACATTTACGATCATTACGGACGGAATGTATTTTTGCATAGGCTGCGTTATAATACACCAACGTATGCCAAAATACAATAATAAAATGCACATAACATGTTAACGAGTGAGTAGTGAGAGATCTCCCTCTCCCTTCCATCGATGTGTACGTCTCCTACTGGGACAAACCGCTCCGCATGGAAATCGTATCATCCTGTCCATGTGTCCAGCTCGACCGACCCGACGGTCCCCCTCTACTGGGTGCGCGCACGCGTGTGAGTGCAAGCCTGCGAGTGTGAGTCTCGTTATGCATCGAGCAACTGAAAATGGCTAATTGTCAGAGTCGCTTGCGCAGCAGGTGAAACGGAGCCTTTGGACGAGGACGAGGACGAGGACGAGGTCGAGGTCGAGGTCGACGGGACGGTCGCTCGAGGAGACTCGCGTGCCGTAGGCTTTGACTCAGGTGGCCGGTTCAGCCTCGATCTCCGGCCACGAGTCGTCCGCGTCGATAATCGGTAGACGTGTGCGAGCGGCGTCTCGAGGAAAACTCGGAAGCGAGATTCCGTCGACAACGAGGGGTACAAAAAAAGAAGAGAGGTTCCGGGGGAGAAAGAGCGACCGAGTAAGAGAGAGAGAATTTTTGTTCCGCTCTCCACTCCGCAACGCGCGCTCTGCTACTGACGGAAGAGCAAGAGAGAAGGAGCGAGCTCGAGCAAGATAGACGAGGCTCGAGGATGGTGCTGAGTTTAAGGAGCGCACCGGCCGACGGACCTCGTCGAGTGTTTTAAGTACACTGGCGGAAGTGAGGAGGACGGGCCCCGCTCGGAAGTATACAAGACACTATAGACTGCGGAAACCCATCGTTTCACCCATGCCAGCAATCGAGAGTGACGAGTCTCTCACGACACCTCTCTGCCACCCCGCAGAGTCGATCTTACATTGCTGGTTTGTTTGATCTATAGTTGGATCGATGCACTTTACGATCCTTCGAATTTTCTTTTCTTTTTTTTTTACATGACAAGTATATTTTATTTACCTGTGTGCAAGCAGTTGTCTTTACGCCAGAACTTCTCTTTATTCATTTTTAGTTAATCCCAACCATTGATTCTATCTATTGAGATTGTGATTTTAAATTAAAAAAATTGTAAATACTCTATCGATGTACAGTTTTTGTGCTAAAACTAGAACTACATGGCAGTTTAAATACGTCACACAATCAAATACTATATAAATCATGCACGTTTATAGTGGCGCATACTTATTTATCATTTATACTTCTTGTGTTAATTTCATTTTTATATGTTTTTTCGCTAGCAAAAGTAATTCTTCCATTTATAAGTTTCTCAAATCTTTACTATTTACCATTTCCACCGCAATTTTAAGAAATATAATCCATTATGATACATTGTATATTCGACTTTCTATTTGTAATTGTACCCGGATAGAAAAGCTGTTACTACAATATGTAACTACAATATAACTACTTTTTAGCTTAAATAGTATGTATAATCAAGTTAAATAATCTTTATTTAATATAAGGATAAATTAGTATCAAATGCTTTTGCTTTGCCTATGCACGATTTACTATATTTTGAGATTATATTCGACTCATCATTTCTAAATAAGCAAAATATTAAAAACTTTTATTATTTATTTATTTTCTTATTATATTTTTCTTATTATAATATTTTATTATTTATTTTCTAAATATAATAAAACTTCAAATACAATAAATGATTGCATTGATAACGTTCAATAGTTACAGAAATTACAAACTCTGGAAATATTTTATCTCGTCAATAATAACGTTTTTTTATGGTTAAAATTATATTTTGGATAATATCATCGGTTATTTAAAATTAATATTAATACATATTTTGATCGTATACTTGATTAAAGCTTCAGTATTTTTAAAATATATAATCAGGGAGTGTATTATAATAATTCTATTAAGTAATTATCCTCTCTAAGATATAAATACTCTGTACATATGCTTTTCATATACGAATCATATTAAATGATTAATTGTCAAAATAATCATTTTTTATCTTTATTTTAATTTCTACTCATTAATGGCTTTAATAATTGATCTTTATATTTATTGATTGAATAATATTTGTAAAGCATGATAAATTAATGAGTCTAACCGGATACTTATTTTTATTTAATTATATTTAATTACAAAAACTTTATTTAAATTAAATACGTACAAAACAACTGCTTATAATATCAATACAGGTACAAATTATTTGTGAATTTGCTTAAATTACAATGTGAAATCATTTCCTTCTAACATAACAGATAACAACTATTTACTACTCCTGTTAATTCAAGTTTCATATTATTAATCAATAAATATTTTGAAAACTTTTTCATCTACATTTAATTAAGGATAGGTTAACTTAGCATACAGTAATTTAAACGCAAATAAAATTGTAAAGAAACTTGTTCTATACTACTGATTTTTTTTTCACATAAATATCATAATTAATGCACAGCAGTGGTAATAGCCAAGTATCTAGTTTTAAACGATGCAAGAGCAGTGTTATTCTTATTATCAACAAGCAAGAAAATCTAATAACCCGTAGATTAATTTCCATTTAATAGATACATCACGAACTCCCTGCAGTTTGACTAATAATGTATTCCTGATGTTTTTCAGGCAACCATTGTTATCGCTCGTTTCACTGGAATAACACAGGCCAGTCAGGAGCTATGGAGGGCATGGCTTCTGGAGCCTCTTCATTGGATAGTGCTGGAAGTAGTGGTCAGTCGTATTTGATGGATTATTTACAGCATGCATGGTGGACAGTGCGAAACGAGAGAATTGCACATTATATTCTGCACATATGCGAGGATTATTAATTACTTCTAATAGTTACAACTTCTTCTTGAAATTACAATACAATTTATTTAAAATGTAATAATAAGCGCAAAAAGTAAGATACAAATCACGTAAGGGATAAATTATAATAATAATTAGAAATTTAGTGATGAGGAAGTGAAATAGAAATTTTTAAATGTAGATGCCCGATGACCAATTTGCTATGTTGCATGATCGGATGAAATACTAAACTAATGTAGAGAATTGAAACTATAACTATACATAAATATTGGAAGATAATTATTTTAATTTCTAATACGATTGATGGTAAATTTATCATCTGGTTTTGGATAATTTTTCACAAAATTAATTGAATCAACTTTGTTTTTTTAATCCATTGGTATGGAACATTAAATTAAGTGATAAAATAAAATTATTTTATAACTATTTGTTGAAATGTATATTCATTCATCAAAGGACTCGATTAATTTATAATAATAACTAAACGATGTAAAAATATCCTAATTTCGTTCGTTGTATTTGTTATTGCTCCTTTTATAAAATGGATTAAAAAAGTAAAATATTTTTTGTACTACGTAAATCACATTCAATTCATGAAAGAAAATAAACCCATTGTAAATCACTTTTTATTTAATGAATATTATAAAGACGGGAATCGTGATGTTCATGTGCGTGACCAATGATTTCTTTCCTGGTGAAAGCTATCTCTTTGCTTTAAACCGCATTATTTTTACCATAATGGCGACCAATTTTACAAACCGCTTGCTACGCTAGTATTTTCATTATTTACTTCGAACTAAATCTGATTATTTTAGTTAAATTTGAAACGTTACGTATTTAGGTTCAAACTAGTTTTTAAAATCAATTTTTATCATTTGTGTTGCAGATGGAGCACTCAATGTTGGTAAGCAATCAAAATTTGTTTTAAATTTTTTTAATTAATGTTATATAAATTTGTATGAAGTATAAAGAAGTACTTTAAGTGTTCTAAATCATTATGTACGAAATTCTTTAGTTACCTCTAATTTCGTTACGTGAGATTCAATTTACGTTTTCTTCAAACTGAAATTCTAACTTAATGTAATATTTTGACGTTGGATTTTATTTTATCGCTTAACCTTTGGCCATCATTTAGTAATTATTTTCATTTTCTGTGGAACAACTCATATTTGTGGCATATAGAAAGGGATAGTGGAGGATGTGACAGCATTGGAAGTCCAGTTGGTGGTCCTGAATGTCGAAGTGACTATGATGATTTGCAAGCACAATATCAACTACTTAGACATAAGCACTCTGATACTATTAGACGGTTTGTTTTCCTTCATTTTATTTTTATTTTCAATTAAAGTGAAGATAATATAGTAAATAACCATTGAATACATCTGTTAAAATAAGTCTGAAATAGTATATAAATACAACTGGTTTTACATTACAATATCTGACACCTAATCTGAAATCTATTAATATCGTTTATTTTTTTACTTACATAAGATATATAATGAATATCAATAAGTTTAATAATTCATGAATGAAATTTTAAATATTTGTTCTATTTCCATATTTTACTGTTTAAGCCTCAAATATTAAAAAATAAAATTTCATTTTATAAATTTGAAAAATATACATTCACTACGTATTTCAATTATTGAAATCAAGTAATAAGTTATATTATGATTTAAAAAAAAAAAACAATACAATTTAAAAGGAAATTTAAACATAATTATGACATATAAATTTATTGACCTATGAGTAGATAATTTTGTCGCCTAAACACACATTTAATTAAATTTTAAATAAACAATGGTTATTTAACGATTCATTTACTTTAATATATTTTACCGTTCATACGTGAATTCGTTTTACAATATAGATTGCACAACTTCCCTCCTGCTTCACTCGTAACTATCACGTAAGCCTGATTATTTTTTAACCCTGCATTTTTCATGTATATATATGTATATATTTATATATATATATATATATATAATTCGTCAGTTGTACTACGCAAGTCTCTTAGAGCCATTTTTATAAATATGGATTTGAAAATAGTATTAAATATAAAAGAAATAGTATTTTTCATATTAACTAGTCGTGCACGCGTTAATTAGGTATAGAAGTATATTCAACATCGATGAATTCAAGAAAGTGAGAAAAAGTACGTATATTATTCGATAATACTAATGCGTGTTCTTATTTCTAACTCTGCAAAACGTGAAATTAATGCATTAAGAACATCAGATTGAATTTTTAAAAAGTATTCGTTCATTCAAAGTGAAGTAGATACATCTCGACATATAACTTTCTACATTTTTGCTGTCAGATATTTTCAACAGAATGCTTTTACTAATAGTATTTTGACCGAAATATGTTTCTAAAAATGATGACTTATTACAAACTGTTTTTATATCCAACTATCCAACATAATTTAAACGTCTAATTTTGTTAAGTTGCATATTTCAATTGTCATGCACATATCAACATATTTTTCAATTGACATACGAACATATCTATATGCATATCCATCATTTCATATTAAAAGACAGACTTCTGGAAATCTGAAATTTACGCTAAAAACGAAGGAAAAATGATTAAAATATTAAATTCCATAAATATTTTACTCTTTCTGATTTGTTAAAATGTATTGATGATTATTAATACATTTATTTTAGATATGTAGCATTGGATTAATTTTAATTTTAAAATAAATAGCAGAGCATATTAGGATACAAGTTTGAACATCTTTTATATCAAGAATATCAAGAATTTAAATTCTATTAAACGTATAATTTATTAAATTTAACGCCAATGTATAAGTTTGCACAAAACATCAATATGAAAAATAAAAACAGAATATAAAATAATTCATTAGAATTTGCTTTGAAAATTTACAATATTATTCACTTATAAACATGTTATCAAGAATAACATTTGATTGATCTATCATTGATAATGAAAATCGAAAATTAGCCCTAAATCATAAAATTTTCTTAAAATAATATTAAAAAATTTGAAACATGACAATGATAATTTAATTAATCCACTTCATAGAGCAAATACTTTGTGAATAAATCAACTAATATTATTTTGAATAAAAATTTAACAAAAGTAAACAAAATAGAGCTCGTGTCTGAATAAATTTAATACAACGTAATGCCTTAATGTAATTTCCGATTTTAAAGATGCGAGCATACCATGAAGGAGCTGGAGTACTATCGTAGCCAACACATAGCAGCTATGAATCAGCCGGATTCAACATCAGTCCAGGAGTCCTCAGCCCTGCGCGGCAAATACAGTGATCTTGTGAACGACAAGCAGCGCCTAGATCGCGAGGTGCAGGCACTGCAGAAGGAACTAACGGAACTCCGGTGTCAGAATAAAGAGGTTCTCGTAAGTGACCCAAGTGGTAATGCTACCGATGCCATGAATCAACATTACCTATCAGCACTGAGAAAATACGACGCGATGAAGGACGAGTATGACTCCTTAAGAAAGAGGTACGACGATCTCATATCGTCGCACTCATCAGCTGTTAACAAGGTAAGACTCCGTCTCTCTCTCTCTCTCTCTCTCTCTCTCTCTCTCTCCATCTTACTATTACCGTCCTCGTAACGTCTTACTTCTCATTATAAATCTTATGCGTGTATCAGCGATGCCTTATATCGGTCGAATTAAAGCGAAAAATGATGCCCACCTTTACACATATTCCGTAAAAAAATTATAAATTAATATAATTATTCTCTTTGTCGACAGCTGGAACTGGCTCAGGAGGAAGCGGCACGTTTGAAGAAGCAGTACGAGGACGTTGTTCAGGAGCGCAATAGCACAGTACGGGAGCGCAACGGTCTTAAGCAACAGTGCACAGCGGCGATTCGCCAATGGGACATTGCGCTACGGGAGCGAAACGAATACCGCGAGGCCTTGGCTAAGGTGTCGCAGCAGCATGAGGAAGCTGTTAAGGAGATTAATCAGGCGATGGTGGGCCGAATGAAGGCGAGCAAGGAAATCAAAAGGCTGACAGAGGAGCGAAACGCCGCGCTGCACGAGTACAGCCTCATAATGAGCGAGAGAGACACTGTTCACCAAGAAATGGAGACGCTGGGCAACGACTTGAGCCAGGCTTACGCTAAAGTCACGCATCTTGAGAACGAGAATAAGCAATTGGTCGAGGAGGTGGGTTGCTTAGATGTGCTTCTTTTAATCCTCTGGAAAAATTGCAGATTATTAAATTAGCCCCTACGATTTCAATATTTATTAAAAAATTACAAAGTGTTCATTTTAATTTTTAATTGATTGATTTAATGAAAAAAAGAATGAAAAATTTAATTAATTAAATTTTCTCACGGTCGTTATACTCTAATAGATTTCACAGGTGGAAGATGGTTTTAAGATTAAAAAATTATTGCTTCTAAAGAAATTGCTTCAAATATCTAGTTAATTAAGACTAAGATTAACTTCAAGACATTGACCATGCTTATAAGTCAAACAAAATAAGTAACATTTTTCATTTTTGTTTAGAAAAAAACCTTATCTTATCAGATAGAGACCTTGCGACGGGAAATATCATCAGCTCTGCACGATCGTGACGAGGCCCTTAAAGAGTCCAATGAATTACGACAAAAGTTTGGAGACTACTCCGAGGCTACGAGCCGCGATCGAAAAAATCGCTTGGAATTGCACTCGTACAACACGGAGCGCGATGTGGCGAATAAGGAAGCCGAAAAGGAGACGAACCCGAGAGACTACGCCAAGCGTGAGAAGGAGCGTATGGACAATCTCGATCAGGCGAACGTCGAGCTCGATAAGTTGCGCAAATTCGTCGATACATTGCAGGCTGACCTCGAGGAGGCTGTGCAGGAAGCCGAAGTATCGAAACGACGCCGCGATTGGGCATTCAGTGAACGCGATAAGATCGTACTGGAGCGTGAAAGTATTAGAACTCTATGTGATAGGTAATGCATTGGCTCTTTAATACGTTTAATAATGTTGCCGATTTTGAGAGTAAATTGAGATCACAAAGTACAAAAACATATATTGATTTATCAACTCATAAATTTGCATAATTTAAGTAAGTGAAATATCTATAATTTTATGAATAACATAATTGTTAAAATCTACTCCATATATAATATTTTGTATGAAATCAAATGTAAAATATTTTGAAAATAATATTTAGGGGTGCAAAAATGTATACGGACACGCTACTGTATTGTGCATGAAAAAAACAAAAAACAAAAGTCGAACTTACGTGACGTGGAATTTAAAATAATAATGTTAATCTATCGACTATTAATGGAGCATTAATTCTCGTAATAATATTATTCTTCACTATAGGCTACGCAAAGAGCGTGATCGTGCAGTCTCCGACCTCGCCAATGCGCTCCGCGACTCGGATGACATAAAGAGGCAACGTAACGAGGCTTCCAAAGAGTTGAAGGACCTTAAGGAAAAGATTGAGTCGGGTGATCATAACCTGCGCACTAGTCAATACGGCCAGAGTGTGCACGATTCGGATAACGAATGGGATGCCGTGACCGTGCATCTGGACCTCGGTAGGTTGGGCCTCGAGTCGGAACGCGACCTTGGCCTCATGCTCGTAGGTGGCCGAGACAATCCGTACTATCCGGATGACACAAGCGTTTACGTGGCTCAAGTGGCGCCCGGGAGTGTAATCGAGAACAAGCTCAGGGTAAACGACTGCATACTGAGGGTCAATAACGTTGACTGCTCGGCCGTATCGACACGCATGATCATGGATGCACTGAGGTCGTGCAATGCCGGATCCGCGACTCTTACCATCAGGAGACGAAGGCTGGGCCGAAGGTCCTTGAGAACGACACAGCTGCCAGTTGGATCTGTGTCCCATGGGATCACGCTGGAAATTGGTATTTACATTGGCAAGATATCGCCGGGCAGTCTGGCTGCTAAAGATGGCTATCTAGCAGTTGGCGATAGAGTTTTAAACGTAAGTGTGTCGTGTAACTTGCTAGCTTCGTACTTATTGATGGACTTTTCAATCGCAATATTTCATTATTCTTATTTCGATATAAATTATCTCTTCAATTAAACGGCTAATGGTTAATGATAAACGATAATTCGCAAAGACAATGCTTTCTAATTTAATTATGCGACTGAGATAATTTATTGTTAAATATACGTTATAGATTAACAGTAAAGCAATGGAAGGAGTAACTTCAGCTCACGAGGCGATGGCAATTCTAAACGATACATCGACTGACGTCCTTACAATAACGACGCTCAAGGGCATACCCTTGACAGCAGCATCTAGCGCCGAGGCGATGCCAATAGACGGCAGCTTCAGCTCGGAAAAGCAGAAAATGGTGAACAGCTGCTCGCAAACTGAGCAAGAGCGCATGATGTTGAAGACGACGTCAGAGGACTATGATCGTCGCTATATCGCCTCAAATTTCGGCGAACGCAGCGTCTACAAGATATCAAAGTCAATGAGCAACGACAAGCCCAGTGGCATAAGTAACGCTTGGGACAACTTCCGCGAGAAAATCGATATTGTCAGGGGTCGTAGACACAGCAAGGACCGCGAGGAAAAGAAAAAGAGACATCGAAACTCGAGCCCTAATACTTTTGAACAAGAGCAGGATGCTATTGCCAAGCTCGATTCCGTCATTGAAAGCTACCACAAGAAAGCTAATAACAGTTAGTTTTTAATTAAAACAATATTCACTACGAAAGCGAAACTTCTCATTCACTCGATACGTGCGAGCTTGACTGAAAATATTTTACTTGCGTCAATTAATATTTTTCAGGCAATAATGGAGTGCTGAAGCGAAGCAAACGTCGAGGAATCGGTGCGAACGGCAGTGGCGGCGGAGCGACCAGTGGATTGAACAGCGCAAATGGCTCTGAGAAATCCTCCGCTGATAAAAATGGAGGTACGTGGCCGAAAGTGCGCATAGGGCCCCTCATTCAAAACGGCACCGGCACCATCCTGCATCCAAGAAAGACCAAGGAGCGACTGCCCCTCAGCATGCTTCTCAATAATCCACCAAAATACGAGAGCACGTACAATTACAATCGCATCTCAAATCCCATACCCTTGGCAAACCTAAGCGGCGGAGTTGGCGGCATAAGCAGCAACAGGCACACGGTCTACAAGGCGGTTGAGAGTCCCTCGCCGAGTTTCATCAAGTCCGCGCAGCTGCACAGTCAAAAGTCCTTCGTGCCCTCGGCGGTGCAATTCAAGGACATCGGCCTCGACAAAACCGGTGAGGGAAATCTCGGCTCGGTGCTCACGCCTTCCGAGACGAGCATCGACTTCTCTATCAAGTCCAGCCGCGACGTCGATTACTACACGAAAAGCAAGCGCACGACCACGAGCAGCGCGAACGCTGCCGTTAGCACCAAGTACACGCCCCTCGGCCACGACGGCAATAGTCAAGTAGACTCGCTGACCCATAATCGCGTTCATTCGCAGCTCTACGCCTCGGCCTCCTCGTCCTCCGGTGGCGGCAGCGGCGTTGTGCCGCGTCTCGTCGGACCTGGTAATTTTTCCTTCCCACCCTACGCGCACCCCCACCCCCACCATCCGCACCAGCAGCCCATCAGCATAAGTACCAACTCGCGTTACCCATCACCACCGTCCCTCCCGAGTGCCCAGTCAGGTGAGTCCATAGGCCTTCCGGACGCGCGCTCCTTCTGTTTCGAGCCACCATACAGTCCCCAGCCCCAGGCCAACTTCGGCCACCTGCACACTCCGTCGATCGATCTGCACTACCACAAGCCTCGCGCCCATCCCACCATGAGCTCCTACGACGTGCCGCCCTACGTGTCCCATGGCTCGGCGACCGGTGGCTACGAGGGCGGCACCTTCCCAAGAAAGAAGGAGAATCAGCGCTTCAGGATACCGTCAAATCCGAGCGTCACCTCGAAAAGCAGCATCGGTAAGCTCTCCTCCGGCAGCATCGAAAAGACCTCGGAGCGTGGCAGTCCCATGCCTTCCTTTCACGTGGAGATCCTGAGCCCGGGAACCGGTAGCGGAGCCAGTGGCAGCGGTGCGAGGACAACCGGTAGTAAGAGGTCGAGCATGCCCGATTATTGTTACGCGAGGCCAGCGCACGGCCAAGTCAGGCGAATTCACATCGAAAAGAGTCAGGAGCCACTGGGGATACAGATATCGTGCCTTGAAAGCGGTGGAGTCTTCGTCTCGTCGGTGACAGAGCACAGCCTCGCGTCGCAAATTGGCCTGCAGATTGGTGACCAGCTGCTGGATGTTTGTGGAATCAATATGAGAACGTGTGACTCGTACCAAGTGGCGGCCAACATTCTGAGACAATGCGGTAACTCGTTCACGATGCTTGTGCAGTACAGTCCCGACAGTGAGTATTCGACTTTTAGATTTAATTGTAGACGGGAGTTGTTGATAAATATTCATAGACATAAGCGATTGACCAATTTACTTTATGCTATAATCATATAATCGCCAGTTCCTTTCAACTCTAAAAGTTCGCTGTCACTTACATTTTTAATGCGTAAGTTGTTCATTTTTTTTTTCTTTTTTTGTCATTAAGGGCTGCATCGAGGACGTCCTTTAAATTTGATAATAATATGACAATGAAAGAGCATTGATGATAATCTTAACACCAATTTCATTATACAAATGCCTATTAAAGTAAAAAATTCAAAATAAATATATACGTTATATTGTAATCAGAGCTTCTTTTTCTTCTTCTTCTTCTTCTTACTAATTTTTACAATACATTACTCTGCATGATTGTTAATTTCATATAAATGTCGCAAGTATTTATATCGCATGATATTTAAATATTTTATAGGTTTCTACAATATCGATGTTATGATATTAATAAATTTTTGAACATTTCTTTTTTTTTTTTTTATTTACAGTTCTACTTACATAAAATGAAAATGCGGATAATCATATTTCTAGAAAATTTGAGGAAAAAATTTTTCTCCTTCCCTAATGAGTTACGAGAAAAGTGTATTGAAGTTATGGCTAGAAGAGAGAATAGAATTTTAATAAATAAATGCCGCTTCCCTAATAATAATTCCCTAATCATGATTAATCCCCATATAATTAATAATATTAATAATAATTATAATTATTATAATCATTATCATTGTTATTGTTATTATCATTAGTATTAGTGTTATCATTAATGAAGATGACGATGACGATGATGATGGTGATGATGATGATGATGATGATGATGATGATGATGATGATAGAATGCGCGATTTTATTGACATTTAACGGTTGCTTGAAGATGATGAGAGATAGACGAATCGGGGAACAAATGAGAAACTTGTTGGTCATCGCTATCGGCATAATGCTTAGTCAAGTGCATCCTTTTGTTTGCTTGTTCGCAGAGTACAGTGAACTGGAAGGATCGGGATCTTCGAGTGATTCGGAAGGCAACGGTGATAAGGAAGCAAGTCATAGTGGCTCGTCCACGCCCTGCAACAGCCCCGAAGCTTCGCGTAAGAGCGCGATCGAGCCAATAGAGCCTTCGGAGCCGGAGCGCGATCAGTCCAGTTTGTCGACCATCAGGACGCCGAAGGAGCGTGAGCGAGAGCGTGATCTCCGTACTTCGGCATCCATTGAGGTAAAGATCGCCGCTTGCTCTTGCTTCGTTATCTCGACGCTCGCTCGTTTTCGCGTTTGGCAAATCACGAGCTTAGATATCGCTTTACGTGGCATGAAAGTATCTCGGCACCCGAGCTAATAATACGCGCATTAGTGAATTAAGCAATTATCGGGACAATTTAATGGCAATAGGTGAGAACGACGCAGGACCGTGAGCGTGATATTCGTAATTCAGCCTCGCTGGATATTAACATACGGAAGCCAGAGCTTCGCACAAGCCTCACCCTCGATGGTATTCGCAATAGTCTTGGAGGCACTGGTACGCTAACCCGAGCCCAGATCAACCAAACCGCCACTACGCTACAGCGACAGAACGCCACCGTGCGAAGGTAATTTATAATTATTAATGGGGCTGGACCAAGTGCTGACGAAGCATAATACATAGAGCAAATAGCACTTGGAAAGCCGGTGGGAGCTAAGATGCGAGGGAATCGATAGAATAATCCTTTGATATTTATATTTAATGAAGTCCGGCGCAAGACGACCAAAGCCGCAACAATAAGACACCGCCACTGAGCGAGCCACGTTACCTCTTTATCGAGACGAGGAAATGCTCGAACCTTGGCATATCACTCGTCGGAGGCAATGGTGTCGGTATTTTCGTTCACTCGGTCCAGTTGGGCTGCCTCGCGGAAGAGGCCGGCCTCCACATGGGCGATCGTATCCTCGAGTACAACGGCGTCGATCTGAGGCAGGCCACCGCCGAACGGGCAGCCCTCGAGCTCGCCCGACCCGCCGACAAGGTCACCCTTATCGCACAGTACATACCCGAGCGATACAACGAGGTGAAGGATAAGCCTGGTGACAGCTTCTACGTGAAGGCGATGTTCGATCGGGTTGGCGATGTGGGAGATAGCCTGCAGCTCAAGTTCAACAAGGACGACATTCTTTATGTCGATAATACGATGTTCAACGGGACGCCAGGACATTGGCGGGCTTGGGTCGTCGATCAGACTGGCAGAAGGCAAACTTGTGGTATTATTCCGAGTAAATTTAAGTGAGTACGCCCGTTCATTTTTCACTTTATTCAATTGCTTGAACATGCCTGAACATAAAATGTTATCATTTTTAATAAACAATAAGTAATTTGTATAAATAAATGTCGAGTTATAACTTCCTCTCGTGCTAATTATTCAATTGGACGAAAAATTAGCTTTGCCTTCTACTCGTCAATTTATTTCTTTACCTCTTAATTTTTAAAACATACGTAAAACATTATGACACACGCGTTGCATATATGACGATGAAGTATATATAATTTTATGACAATTGTCAACTATCGTCAATAATTGAACCTACAAAATTGTCGTATAAATAGAGGTCCGCTGTTAATGTTACTCTAAAAACTAGATTCCGTTAAATTTACATTAAATATTATTGTTTATTTAAGTGACAAATTGCGTTGCAGGGTCGAGGAAGAGCTGCTTTTACGAAGGTCACTCGGTGATTTAGAAACAGATGCTGGAAGGCGCGGAACGACAAGCGCGAGACGAAGTTTCTTTAGGCGAAAAAAACATCAACGTTCATCGAGTAGAGATAGTAAGGATTTGTCGCAACTTACGAGTGTCAATATGGGCTGGTACAGTGATAGTGGAACATTGAACGAAGAGAATCTTCCATTAAGCTACCAACGCGTTGAAAGACTTGACTGTGAGTTGTATAAATATATATATATATATATATGTATGATTATTATTTATAAGGAGGGCAATTAAGATGCTGTTCAAATTACGAATTACTTATGTAAACTTTAATTAATAAGTTTTCAAATGAGTTTCAAAATTGGCAAATATTTTAATTTCCTATTAAAAATTTCGACAGCGATTAAGTAAATATACTGTGTTTAGAATTCCAGTCATCCAGTGGTCGAAGGACCAGGATGGTTGAATTAGACTATGATCACCAGTTTACTGATGGCAGAAAGTCAGGATAAATGTAAAGGGTAGTGCTTCCGATTAGTAATTAACAGCCCTGTTTTTTTTTTTTTTTTTTTTGTCCCGATTGTTGCGTTTCTTTTACAATTACACAATTATGATTGTACCTCGATAATGAGAGTTGTTGTGTTCCGTGCGGTTCTTTGGTGATTCCACTTGGTGGTAGCATGTACTACATGTCGAGGTAGGAGATCGTAAATCTCCGTATCCTCTTGATGTAGTGCTACTTGATGGTGTCTTGTGAGCGTAAGAGTATGTTGGTGCACCGCAAAACAGGGTTGCGTAATGCTGCTGCGAGGGTTGCGTAATGGTGCGGAGGACTGCATCGCGAAACAGGAAGCGTTTAGGTAGATGGTAACAAAGGATAGATGTTGCTATGCAGAGACTAGAGTAAGTTTCGAACGTTCGAGAATATAGCTTTCGAAATTTCGATAATGACGCGAAAGCGAATCTTTAGAAGATTGGAAAATTCCAATCGACGTTACTATGCGGAGGCCAAATAAACATTGTCGGATGTTTGAAACTAAAACATTATATTTGAGAATTCTCGGACGCAATTGTTTATAGAAATTCGAGAGCTAGAGGGATTAGCAATTCCGAGAGCCAACGGTCATGAAAATTGCTTCAATCCTGAACATACTGTGAAAGAAATAACTAAACATTTGTTTAAAATTATCCTCTTTATTATACATATTTTAAAAACATTTGGAACAGTAATTATATATATATATATATATATATATATATATATATATATATATATATATATATTTGTAATATTTCCATAGATCCAGCTTTAAGACCAGTTTTAATAATTGGCCCACTAAACGAGTGCGTAGCAACCAAGCTGCTGCAGGAATTCCCTGGACAATTTACAAGGTGCTTACCTGAGGCGATGCATTGTTCGCAAGCCACATTGGAGCAAGGCTTGCGAGACTCGCAGTACGTGGATTATCGTAAGAAGGGCAGTTACTTTGAGTGCACGACGGTACAAGCTGTGAAAGAAATCTGTGAAAAGGTACTTTTCTTATACGATACTTATTGAATCATTGAATACATTGAATATACTTACTTTATCATAATTTTCGTTTCTTAGAATTCCCATTGCATTTTGGATATATCAATAGCATCACTCGAGCGATTACATAGGCATCAAATATATCCCATAGTATTACTAATCAAATTTAAAAGCACAAAGCAAATAAAGGAGGTGAAAGACTCGCGATATCCTAGCGATAAAGTCAGCGCAAAGGCAGCGAAAGAAATGTACGAGCACGCTTTGAAACTCGAGGCCGAATACAGACATTTCATAAATGGTAAGCAATGATATCAAAAATTAATCGTTAAATAATTCAACTAATACGTTAACTGCCCAGTGCCAATGTATTTAGCGTATGACTTTTATTACGGTTTTACATTATGAGATTAAGCATAGCAAAGCATTCCCCTAAGAATTTGATACCCTATCTTTACCAAGCGTCTCCTTTCTTTTTAAATACAATTTGAATAATGATTTTATATTATAGTGGTCATTCCAGCTGGAGTGAACATAGCGTACATCTGCACACAAGTAAAAGCTTCTGTGGATGATGAGCAGAGCAAGGCGTTATGGGTTCCTCGGGGTCTTCCTTGACATTCAAGGGGGGGTCCCCATAAACCGCAATGGAAATCAATTTAAAATCCATCAGGGGGCCCTTACGTCACTTAAAACAACAGAATTCATTGAAATTGTGTATTTATGGTTTCATTCTTATTTTCTGCTAAACGAGGTGGGAAGAATTTTTTTGTCTTTTCAATTGTTTTGTCTGTTGAACCATTGTTTTCCGAACCGCGTTCACTCAATACTTAAGGTATTCCTTTGCTTTAGCCAATTTTTTTATAACAACATATATTTTCATCCCTCCCTGTCTTCCATAGTTTCTTTGTAACTTAAGCTAGTAATGTATAATTTTGCCGCAAAAGCAAATTAACAAAGAGTATTTATTCGATGTCCCGAAATTATATTTTTTATGTTGCTTATTTCGATCATCGAATGCAATTGTAAAATGGATCCTCCTTTGTTACCGTAGATTGTTTAGACTGAAATTTAGTAATCTAGACGTACTTAATGATCGGTTTACGTGGTGCATCAGTTGGATTTAACATATTATTTTTTCAATTTTGCTAGCACAGTTTTGCTCGTAAAATTGTTTCGGGTGGCAGAACGCGTGGAAAGTTCTTATTCTTATCATTATATTAGCGCATTGCAGAAATTTAGCTTTCTCCATAATTCTCAATTACAATTTTTTTTCTTAGCATTAGACCAGTTGAAAAAGTAATTTTTACTTCCCTGCGTCCATCTGATACATAAAATACCTCGATTAATTAACGACGGAAGCTGAAAATAACCAGCATGCTTAAATACTTGTGTTGAGTGAGCGTGGTATGCGTGACTTCTGTTGACTATAAGAGCGTAAAATCGAGCTTCTATTTTGTAATGGATAATATCGCGATAGTTGCCAGGTGGTTGAGAGACGATGAGAGAAAATGAGACCATAATACGTCGCATAATGGCCCATGATTGAAAATAATTCATAATGCTGATGGAACAAAATTGACTGGTGATTTCATTCGGTTCTTGTAAATATTGTTTATGATTAGTGATGAGTAACTGAAATAACAAGAATATGAGATTTAATTACACAAGCTCGAAACCTATTCGATTCTGAAAGTTCGTCGATAGTGTACAAAAGGAAAAATAATTCGTTCGTTAGTATGGTTAATAGATACGAAAGTTTTAAAAATAATTTAAATAAGTTATTTGAAAAATAGCTGCGATATTAATGGGAAATATTTTTATTTAAGTTAATTCTGAAGTATCGAATAACTAAGAAATTAATTTATCAATTTATTTGAATTTTAATTTTATAATGGCTAATAATAATGAACGAAAAGTTTTTTTTTTTTTTTTTTTTTTTTTTTTTTTTTTTTTTGTATCAATAATTTATAGTTGTAAATTAATGTAGTATATATTGCATACTGTGGTTAAAATAAATTGCAAAAATACAAGCAGACAATACTCGGAAATTCTCTAAAAAGAGATTTTAAAGGAAATAATATTGGAGAGAAAGAAAGAATTTTGTGAATAGGTTTCTAGCCCTATTTTTGCTATTATGTGTACAGTTTTTCTCCTCGAAAATAGTATAGATTTTTACTCGAATCAAGCGAATTTATATAGACGAGATTTACGTGAGCTGAAACGTGCTCAAATTTTTATCACGGTGCAAGTGTAACTTAGACGACTGGCTAGGGCGGAAAAAGATTTAGTCGTTTGTTATCGTCCTATGCTCTGTATTTGTTATGATTGTTATTATTAAATAGTGTTTTCTTTTGCAAAAAGGTAATTATTAAGAATATTCTCAAAGCATCGCATAAGATTGCGAGGCAAAGAGCTTTAACGTTGTATTATCCTATTTATTAATGACACCATTTGTGGGTTTATAAAATGTGTGTGCGTGCGTGCGTGCGTGCCTGTGTGCGTGTATGTACATCTATAATCTGAAATTCGCGATTGTTCTTCATTCGCCGAATTTTCTCGATTGCGATTCTCGTCTCTTGCTTGGAATGAAAGTAAATCAATTTAGTTTTTTAATGAGATAATATTTAGGCATAAGTAGTAAATACCGAAACCAAAAATTTTTAAAATAACGCGATAGCAAGTAATAGGAAAACGAAGCAACTATTACCGTAAGCGTTGGATAACTCATTATTTTAAAAAGACTATTTTAAATGTGTTTTTGCTTGTATGGTTTCAGAAATTTATTATCGCACACATTTATATGAATTATTTAAATTTAAATTTAATTGTTTAATTCAACAAGAAATTATTGATATTACGTTTTACATTAATCGAGTTAGATATAATATAGATCAACGTTTTCACTGATTTTATGTCATGAAATACACAATGCTCATTTTAGAATGATCGGAACTAATTCCTTTTAATAAATTTAAATGAAAAACCTAAATACTTGTATTGATGGCATCAGACGAGACTTAATTTATTATAAAATGCACTCTTTCTTAACTTAAATGATGTTTTATAAAGATGTCTTTTCGATTATTGACATTATTTTTCCTTATGCTCGCGCGTATGGATATCAAAATAAGGCTACTAACATAAATTATACTGAATAACAAATTTCTTCTTATAAGAACTTATTGTTTTGACGACATATCATTTTAAAGAATTGCTTATCTTGTATTATAATGATAAAATAACGTGTACGCAGACATGTTGTTATCAATCCCAAAATAACTAGTATAAGTAATACGTATATTCAATTAACTGTTATTATATATACATTAAACATGACTTGGCCTGATATTAAAAAATGTTTATGAATATTAGAAAAATACATAGTTAAAACATAAATTCAAAATTCTTTCATATAAGCATCATCCTTTTGTTATTACATCTACAAATATTATTAATTATGAAAAGAACAAATTTTTTACGATTAGATCGTAAGCCTAATTTAACCACTAAACTCAGAAAAATAATGTTTCACTGTTAATATCCAAAACTATTGTAATACTGTATGAATAAGCCCATATTTAAAAATGTATCCTATAATTGAAAAATTAAAAAAAAATTTTTTGAAAATTGTAAATAATATTTATAATCATTAAAATAAATACCAAAATTAGATAATTAAATTACAGTATATGTAGATAGTTTAATAACAAAATGATGAACATGAAAATGTTGTATACATAATTAAGAACTTTATTAAAAACGTTATTAATAGCACATACTTTTGTTGTCTTTTTATACTATATCAATACACTTTTGCAATTATGTTTAAATAATGTTATTAATAATAATCTGACATTATTTGTAATATAACTACAAATCTAAATTACCAAGATATAAAAACTGTCTAAACGGCTTTCATCTCTAATTTGTTGTAATTCATATATTTTAATCATGTCTATCATTTTAATAATATTTTTATGAAATATTTTCAAATTATTTTAATTACATTAATTAATATTTATGGTCCATTGAAAATATTAAAATAATATTTAAAATTAAATTTATGAAAACTTAGGCCTACACCTTTCAATATTTCTCAATTCTCAACTTTTGATTTTTATCCATATTTTATCTATAATAATAGCATTAATAATGAAATAGAAATTTCTTTTTTATAAAGTACTCACTTTCTTCTAATAATATACATATCTAAGTTTCAAAAATAGATCCAAAATACATATTCATTCCAGACTAAGAATAATTTCATTTAAAATTTTCATAAAATGTTAACAATATTAAGTAATAACAAATTTAATGTTATGATTATTAAACCTTTAATATATAATTTATTTCAACTCTCAAAATAATATGTATTAATTACTAAAAATTATTTCATTCATAAATATATTTAAATCACTTTAAAAATGTTAACTTATAATTATTACGTTTTTAATATACACGCAACTTCATTTTTGTAAATTGGCTTTACTTTAATATTTGATAAATAAATAGTTTAACATAATACAATTTTAACGATGAAATTGCTGTATTATGTTTTCCTATATTCGATAATTTAGCCTTTAACACTTATTTTTCGAATTCATATATTGTAAATATTTTTTTTTTTTCATTTTTAATGGAATTTATTGTTACTGGCACTAAATATTTTTTATAATCTCAATAATTTTTAATATTAAAATATAATATCAATAAAAAAAATGAAAAATGTTATATTTAAAAATTAATTATAAAGTGGAACAAAATTCATTCAACTAAATATTAAAATATTTTGTTCTTTATATACATAGTATGATAAACTTTATAATCAGAATATAAATTGTCATCAAAATTTGAAAGTTTGTCAAAAATAATATATATATAACCAATAAAATCGATCTCACACAGAAGTTATTTTTAGTTAGTTAAAAAAAGACAAATTTTTCTATTAAATGCATGTTATTATATAAATTGTAAATCATAATTTACTAAACAATTTTATTAATTTAATATTTTTTATCATTAATTATTAAATGCCAAATTTATATTTATATATACATTTTCTCTCTCTCTCTCTCTCTCTCTCTGTGTGTGTGTGTGTGTGTGTGTGTGTGTGTGTGTGTGTGTGTGTGTGTGTGTGTTGTATATGTTTGCATACATGAGTGCGCGCATGTGTATCATAAACATTTCATCAATAATTGTAATAGAAATTTCCAGGTAAATATAGTTATATATTTAAAATAATGATGAATATTTATTAAGTTTTATAAAATATTTAGTCTATTTTTATGAAACTTATATATATATCAATAAATTAAACCCACTTTTCTGCTACAATAGTTGGAAAAGTTAATTGTGAAAATAATTTTTTCTAAAATATAATTAATAAAAGATGAGTATTTCTGATGGTTAAATTAAAATTATTCAGTATACAAATAAAACAATGTGAAATTAGCATATTGTTTTCATATACAATAAATGTAAATGCTTTTGATAAAACCAAACATTGTATTATAAAAAATGCAATAATCGAAAAATTAAAATTGAATATTTGTTGAAACTTTTTATATACAAAAAAAAATAACAAAAAGTTTTTATATAAAAATTGTCATTATTATTCAATAACATTATTTATTGTTAAAACATATTATGTACAATTTTTAATTTGTTATTTTTTAACATTTAATAAAAAAGAAATATGAAATATACCTCAAGTGTCGATTTATTAATATATTTATATAGTATTAAAATATAAATAAAAAAAAATATTTTTTATATTTGAATAAAAATTGTTTACCATATTTATAGTACTGTAAAATAATTAAAATTAGTATACCAAGCTTTACATTATGGATTGAAACTAGATTGAATAAAAGCTTATTTAAATTCATTACTAACATAC